AATGTACGTATGTATGTATGTATGTAATGTACGTATGTATGTATGTATGTATGTATGTATGTATGTATGTATGTGTGTGTGTGTGTATGTATGTGTGTATGTATGTATGTATGTACGTATGTATGTATGTGTTTGTGTATGCATGTGTGTTGTTATGTGTATGTGTATGTGTATGTTAAGTTTTGTTATTAGTTATTACCACATGCGCAAAACCTACCGCAAACAACGCTCAGCCTTTGAAAATACAGATCATATCTCCATGTGCATACATTCCCACATACACACACACACACACACAAACCTACAGACCTACATGCCTACGTGCGTCCGCACATACGTACGCACGTGCATACATGGATGCAGACGTAACAAATCCCTCTAAACCCTAAACCCTAAACCCTAAACCCTAAACCCTAAACCCTAAACCGTAACAAATCAGTCTAAGGATTGCCGGCACCGTCCGAGATCCCCTGGAAATGGTGGTGTCCGCCTACTGCTACCACCACCGGGGGAAGGAGGTGAGCAGAGTGGTGAGTGGGGGGTACAGAAAAGTAGTCCTAGAATCCAAAACCTAAAAAAAAGACCAAACTAGATAAATCCCAAACCCTGTAGTAAACCCTGAGCTCCATACACCCGAAGCCCTATACTCCGGGTTGATGTAGCGCTTGGGGCTGGGGGTTGTTGGTATTAAATCCCCCACGGTACCTGCTGAACATCCTCTCCTAGACCTGCAATTGGTTCTCCCGTATGCAAGGCATTATCAGGCCGTAAGCCAAAAAGTTGAAACTTCAGTATTTCCGTGCTCTGGAGGCAAAGCCAAGGGAATCTCAGCACTAATCGCGCTTGATTCATGTTCCAACTTGCTGAGGTTCACTAGAGGGACGGGGCCGAGAAGTCCTCTTTCTTTATTTGTTTCTTTTGCTCTCTTGTTATTTCTGCTCTCGTCTGCCTGTCTTTCTGTTGTTCCTGTCGTTCTGTCGTTTATGTGTCTTTCTCTTTCTTTCTGTCTTAATTTGTTTCTGTCTTTCTCTCTCCGCTTCTCTTTCTCACTCTATCTGACCCTAAACCCTAAACCCCTATTCTGGGACATGTGGATGTCTGCGGGATCTGTGATCCTTCGTGTAAGCCTCTGGAGAGGCCGGCTTTGTGGAGAAAAGGCCAGTACATGTTAGAAAAAAACCTTATTCTGACGACAGCGAAGAGCAAGTCTGCCTTCTGAAGCCCAGCGAGGGTCCCGGATCTGGGAAAAGGCACGCTTCGAGGTTTTCGGGGGCCGCAGGAAGACGTTGATTTACAGATTTGGGTTTAAGGGGGTATTTAGTTACGCAGCTTCTAGCTATAATATAGAGACCTTAATAATTACCTATCTTATTTTGTTGGTTCCTTATTTTAAATTATAGTATAATATACCCTAAAACCAAGGCCCCTACATTAACCCCAGCTAAGGTACTTTGTAACCCCACTTGCTGGATCCTGTAAGCCGGGATGGTGCCACGATCCTGCGGTAGGCCCGCATTGAACTGACTGACTAGCCTGAGTGCTGCTTACTTTGGTTACGAGTCTTCCGTACGTCCGAGTTCGAGGTCTTGAGGTCCTGATCATAAAGCCCGAACGACGCATTGGTAGAACCCGTTCCAGAAATTGAACAGGCAACCTTTCAAATGTTACAAGGCTTTGTATTACCGCATGCGAGGCGGTGGGCAACCTGATGTTTTGGCCCCCGGGCAGCGTCGCGGCACTGGGCCCCGAGAAGGGCGTGGCTTTCGTGGCCGAGCGCATGACACAACTTGTCGAGCTCCTTGGATTTTCACAGATTTATAAACCCTAAACCCTAAACCCTAAAAGACGAACTTAGAAACTACGGCTTTCCGTTGCCTGATGCCCTTGATTCGGAATGTATGGAACAGTAGGAGGACGAAATAGTGACCAGTCCTACAAAAAAGAGACTTAGACAGTCGACGATCACAGATGTGCTGTGCACGCCGCCGACACACCCAGGATCAGACTCTCCCACAGAAGGGTTGTGCTTAAATGGCAATCGAGTGGTCCATCGCATTGATTGATGACTGGAAGGAGAGTCTGACTCCTGCCTGCGAAGAGGCTGCCTAGAGGGGGCCACAATGTGCCTGACAACCTCTTCTTGGCGCCGAAATACCAATAATAATTGGCTCATGCCGCTGCATGTATCGACACCTAATTTGTAATTTGTAATTTGTTTCTAATTCCTTAATTTGCTGCAAGGCTTCTGCAAAGGTTCAAAGTCCTCCGATTCGAGGTGGCAAAACAGTCCTAAACAAATCACGGCGCTGTTAATGATGAGGTGGTGGAGCCGTTGCTGATGTTTCACATGCTGCCACACAATGCGGGAGAACCTTTCTCCACCAAAACGGCCCCCTATATAACAAGTATTTAGCCCCCCCCTATATAACACGTATTTAGTAGTATGTACTGCTACTCAATGCTGTCCCACGGGGTCCCTCGGGGTTTATTTCGTCATGTTGGACATTTCAGACCCTTTACCTTCGCCCCTTTCGTAGCCACTAAGAAACCACTAAACCCAATCGACCGCGCCGCAAAGCCATGGGAACTTCGGTGACTGAATTGTGTGGTTGATTGCCTGTGGGAGGCCATGGCCGAACCATGCTGCCAAAAGCTTATGGGCATATTACAAAGCAAAAGCATGCTGGAATACACTTTCTGGCTGGGATGCAGTGCTGACCTATGATGCCCGGGTATGGTACAATGGTCCGTACGTGGCTGGTGAAAATTGGCATGTGGAGAAATAAGATGGTATGTGGCTCCTCCATGAGTGTGGGAGTACAATACACCAATGCGACCTGTCCCAGAAGAGATAACTTTGGGCCAATGTGGCTGGCACCAATCCTTTTCTGACTGACTGCCTGAGCTTCTTGCAAATGTGTACTGCCTGGTGCTATCTGACTTCTGCGCACTCTGCGAAAGTCGATAGAAACTAAGAGATCTGTATATTTCTTGGTTTGTATCGTGAAAGCAGTGCTGTTTGCGTTGGGACCTTGCTGGCGCCCAGATGAGGACTTGAATATTTCTGGGTTGCATACACCCTGGCGCACACTTCGCTGAACGCGGAAGGATGGAAACAGGGCAAAGTCATGACTTGAACAAGTGAGCTGTCGTGGATGCAGATACTGTGAGAAGCTTCGAGTGTGCAAAGCCTGCATGCCTGCATGAGTACAAGACTTGGTCGATGATGCATGCGAACGCATGGAACCGTATGAAAAACACGGGGCAGCAGTGAGAGCCTGGCCAGTCCCAAGTCGCCATGCCCAATTGAGTGCATTGTTTTTTTTCAGAGAGGTTGTGCTGAATTGAGTGCATGAAGTCGGCATTTTGCTGCGTAAAGAGTTGCTTCAAAGGGAGCGCCCTAGACAATATGTCAAGGGATCGCCATACAACAGTACTTGTAGCACACACCTGCTGGACTGATCCCTATTGAAATAATGGGGGCAGAATTTACTGGTATCTGTCATCACCCTGCTTCGCGACTCGCTCAGCCATGCAGGAGGCAAAAAAACCCTAATTTAGACAGGCCTGCTGCGGGTTTGCTAGGTTTTGCGGGCTTCTGCAGTGTTTTTGGCAGCGTGCAGGTTTGGTATACTATAGAAAACTAGTTTCCAATATTATCCCTTATAGGTTCCTTATTGGTTAATAAGAATGATACTACAAAGGAGCCCAAAAACTTCTTCTAATTAGTAAGGCCCTTACATTAAGGGTTTCGGGCTCAGGCTAGGGCGGGCTTGGGCGGCCGACTCAGGGGCTGACCGTTCAGGGCGTATTCCACATACAGTGACTCCTCTCAAGCCCCTAGGATGCTTGAGTTATGTTTCAGGGTGTAAGCCGTAAACCCTAAACCCTTAAGGGTCCCGAAACCCTAAGCCTTAAACCCTAAACCCTTAAGGCTCCCGAAACCCTAAACCTTAAACCCTAAACCCTCAAGGTTTAGGGTTCTATAGAGTTTGTCCAGGGCTCGGATCTCCTGGCCCCAAAGCGTAACAAAGCTTTAAATGCCCTCGAATCCCCCAGACGCCACAGGATGCTGCAGCTCTACAACGCCTATACCCTAACAACCTTCAAACCCCATACCCAAAACTCTATACTCAAAATTAAGCCCAAGGCCTGCAAAGAAAGTAAACCCTCCGGACCGTTCCTAAACCCTACACCCTAAACCC